TACAAGTTGTGATATTTGAATGCGATTGACGAAATCTTTATCACTTTGCGTCATAAGACCATTATATCGAGACTGTAAACAATAAAAAATGTCTTTCCGTTGATTGAAGATATATATATTAAAAAATCACTAATAAATATTAAATAATTAATCTATTACCATTTCAACCAATTTTCGTTGCTTGTCTCTTCGTTTTCTTTCCCTATGAAATGACAAAGCCTCTTGTTCTCGGTAAGCAGCTTCTTGTTCCAAAAAAGCAGCATTATCTTGACTTCTAAAAGCAGGTTCATTTGTAGGATACATTAATTGTTGTGGTGGTGGTGGTCGACCATTAATGCCCAGCAAGGCGGCCTCAACCTCAGCCAAGCTCAGCATTCTCTTTTCGGGCAATCCAGCCTGCCTGTGCAATTGCGCTTCAATTTCTTCAAGTGACATTTGAGGGCATGCAGAAGAATGTGCAGGAGGCACAAAACCTAGTAGTGGCGGTGATGTTTGAGGGGGTGTATAATGATGGGAATTTTCGAAGGGACCAGGAACAATACCACCTTCTTTATGTGTTGTAGAACAAATGCGTATAAAAAATATTCAAAATAGATGACATTGATAATGAAATTTATCAATAAGATGAATAATATACGTTGATTTATAAATCATATTTCCGTTTGGTGCACACCTGTGCGACTTGATGGCGCATGCGCATGAAATGACCCCCATATAGAAGGACTTATTGGAGACTGAAATTTAGCATCAATAACGGCCATTAGGTTAAGAAACAATCGTTATAAATATGAATTAAATATATATATAACTTTATTTTAATAAGATACCTCAGATAATGATGGAGTGCCTACTACCTCGTTTGGATGATTATTTTTGCCAATAAACACAACCTCCGAATCATTTCCCCATAAAGCCGCGTAAGATGGTCTTCGTTTGGATTGTTCTATATAAGTGATTTGAATTATTTTGAATTGAATTCATATTACAAGTTATCAGCTTGATATAATAATTGGTTAAACAATCTTACCATCGCCTTTATCTGACGTGGCGCTTTCCCGTCTTTCCCGTCGGCCAATATAAATTTCCTCTTCTTTTTTTATTGTGTATACAATTTTTGCCGTACTTCCCGTAAAATCAAAATCCTGGTCTAAATTTTATAAATTGAAAAATATTTTAATTATAATTAAAAAATGAACGCGAACGTTGATACTAAACAGATCATAGTTCCAAGAAATCGACCATAAATATAGAAATTCGAAACATAATCGCGAACAGGGGTCTACCTATGATCCCATAAAGAAATAGCTAGATCAAGATTGAATAAGTAGGAATAACATACCGACGTCTCCAACATCTCCAAACGTTTCGGCATTTAAATCGTCACCCGTTTCTTCTAACTGAGCACCTAAATCAAAGTTCTGTTCATAATCATAAACCTCAAAGTCCTCTCTTGAATCTAGAGTAAAATCCTTTATTTTTCTTTCTACTTCTTCTTCCTCGGTTTCCTCCTCTTGCTCGCCAGTTCGACCTACTCCAGTTAACTGGTCAGAATTTAAAGGTGGTAATGTAGTGTCGAAGCCAAAGAAGGAGTCTGACATTATTTTTTATTTTTTTTTTCACCCTTCACGAAAACAAATCCAAAAACTGTGATAAATGTTTGCTTCTGAATTATTTATTATATATAGAAGTTGAACTACCATTTATAAAATAAATAGAGGCAAAGAAATTTTTTTTTTTAATCGATAGAAATTTTACTCCCTCCAAGTAAAACACGTGCGCAAAAAAGGCTTCGTGTTACGATACCGATACGATTTTGTAATAACTGTCATTCTACATACCATACGTACGTACGTAAGTACACACGTTAGCGGTTAGCGTTAGGTGGTAAATCAACTACTACGTAGTAGAATCTAAAAATTTTAAATGCTGCAATGTCTATACTATCCTTTTGTACGTATAGAACTGTTTCGAAAAAACTTTTTACATATATACAATTTCTTAAGGATTTGTAATTTTTTATACAGTGACTGTTTCTGACACGTTAGTAAAAATTTTATGTTTCAGGTTGGCACCCGGAGAATAAGTGCTATGCGTCACGTGAATTATGCCATGATCACATATTACGTGTTAACCTTACTAGCGTTAGCGTTAACATTAAACGTTAAATAGTGATAGATTAAAATGCAGGCCAACCCTAAAATTTGGGGCCATCCCCTGCCTAAGCACTGATTCATTGTTAAAAGACGCGACAAAGTCATATATACATTGGCAAAAATGAATACTTTTTTTCAAGCTAAATCTTCTAAACCCATAATGTTGACTAAGTGCTGTTTCTGTATCGGCCTGAGGTATGGTTTGATCTTTCAGTATATATTTTAGAACTAAACTGTTGCGGATTTAAATTAATCGGATGTTTTGTAACCTGATTTACAGAACGGCAACTCTTATGTTAGCCACTCTTGGAGTTGTAAGCGTTGTTTTTTTTGCTGTCATATTTGTAAATTTACCAGAATTATATAATGACCAGAATATTTATGAATTTATTCCATAGTTAGCATATATGACCAACGCTTATCACTTTTCGCAGCTGGCTGGACAGTTTGGTTTATTTTATAGTGCATTATTCACTTATTACATTGGGGCGACTTTCGCATGTATCGCGGGCATCATTGGTGTAATTAAGGTAATATTATACCCCATCGTTCATTTACCTGTGTTTTTTATTACACTTAATTACTCAAATACTACGATTTTGCCCTATAGAATAAAATAAATTATGTAAAAATTTATTCCCTCTTTTATTGGTGGCAACTTTTATTGGGATTCACTCTATCCATCGTATTCTCTATTGTGGCTTTCTACTTTGATAGAGATATCTGTGAAAAATTAATTGAACAACCTGATGTTGATATGGACATGGATACATGCATGGACTGGTACATAAAGACTGCCTCCACAATGGTTATTTGTCTTGGAATATCGAGTCTCATCGATGTACGTTCCTTCTATATTAAAAAAAAAAACTTTTTTTTTAATGATGAATCCGAATTAATTATTTTTTGTTTCTTTTGTCATATGCATAGCTTCATTTCTGTATGGCCGTATGGGCATATTACCAGAGACTCAAAGCCGAGTATCAATATGATGCACTTACGGATCCTGGATATGTTATTTATTACACATCAGTTCCTGCTTATACTACTTCCCAACCACCTGCATATGAATCAGTTCCTCAACTTGACACCAAAGTTGCATCTACTAATTCTAAGCAATAGACATCACCAATAAAGATGGCATTAATTAGATTGTAGATGATAAATCTTTGGCTTACAATATAAAACCTTACTAGTTTTTTTTTTTTAATAACAGAATGACTAAGTTATACATGTACACAGCATCATAAGTTGAATTTTTTTTTTGTCATAATAATTGAATGCAAATTGTTTATTCAATAAAATTTGTTAGACAATTTCAATTGTAATTTGAACCTCAGGGCTAAATAATAAGTGTTACTGTTAGTATCAACCTCTTAACATTCTATAGAAATAATTTTGATCAAATTCGAAATAACTAAGTGTTCATCAGTTCCATCCGATAAATATTTATCAAATTGACCTATAGATTCGCCAATTCTAGCCTTTTGCGCTTCATTAAATTGATAATCAGCCAAGATTCGATCTTGAATCTATAAATGTAAGATATTAACAAGATCTTAAATAATTAAACTATTTGTAAATTTTGTGAATGCATGCAATGAAAAGTTTTAATACCTGAGATAATATTTGAATAGCTGAAAATCCGGAATCAATGGCTTTTACAACTTCCTCTTCAAGTTGTATTTCGTTTTTTTTACTTTTTGCACTTCCAATTAGACTATTAATTACGTAGTCCGGAACAACCTACATATCATTGGTAAAGTAATTTTTTAGTATTGGTGGTTGTTTACGAATGAATTAATATAAATATGTACCCCCGCAATTTCTCGTATTGATTCTACTGTAATCATTTCCTTCTTGTGAAGTTTAGCCGCACTTTGAAGATGCATTATAGCCTTTCTTAGGTCACCTTCAGATAACATTGCTAATTCTTCCAATGTCTCAAAATATGTTGAAATTGGAATACTGCATGAAATTCTGACCAAGAATAATCGTATTTAGACTATATTTTAACAATGAAATTATACCTGTGAGCTATAATTGACAGCTTCTTGTTCACAAATCATCTTGAGTCTTGATATTGTGCTTGAAGCGTCCAAAGGCTTGAACCTGAATTTTGCACAACGAGAAGCTAGAGGTTCAATGATGCTATTTAAATTTATAAAAGAAATATATAGATTTAAATATGAATTCAAAAGTAAAAAGAATCATGTCTGTATAAAAGTGAATGCTTTACCGTGTCACATAATTACAAATGAGACAAAAACGCGTAACTTTGGAATAAGTTTCTATTACGCGCCGCAAAGCTGACTGTGCATCTTGCGTCATCAAATCAGCTTCATCTAGAATTACAATTTTGTAAGGTGGACACGGATAATCACCAGCTTCCCTAATTTATTTAATTAAAATTAATATAAATGATGACGAGTTTATATTTTATTCAGAGCTTGAAAAATCTTACTTTTATAGATTCAAGATCGAATCTTGGC